CAAGGAGATTAGCTGGCCTAGCCATTTCTCTACGCTTAAATGAAACAATTTCAGCAGCAGAATTGGAGAATCTCAACGAACAAGGAAGAGGAAGCAGTGGCATGATCTTTGGAGCTAAAGATTCTTGTTCCAGATAGACCATGATTTACATAAGAGCAATAGCAGCCTCAGTAGAGAACCAGGGAGACAGAACTGACTTAGTTCTGCTGCCTCACAGAGCCAGAGTCAGAGACCTTTACCTAAGCTTGCTAGAGGACCGAGGGAAGAAAATCTGTGTAGCCATTGCAATGGATTTCAGACTCAGTAGAGCAGTAGATTTGGTGTTGAAAATAGTAGCAATTATAGGAGGATGGAGAACCATGATTGCCTTATAGGAAATAGTTTTATACTGTAGATGTTGTTGATTGGGACAGTTTTCCTTTGTGGAGGTTAGTAGAGGTCAGATGTAGCCATTCTTGTGCTGCCTACACTCATTTTTACACTCCTACATTTTTCTATGAAAAAGGAGATAAATGTGTAAGTGATTGTTAGACTCAGAAGTTAATGGGGAGACTTGAAGGTGGCATCCGAAGGCAAGGAACTGGATCTCCTCAGGGTTACAAGTCTCTGTCAAAGCTGCTAATGTACATCATACATTATTGCTGAAAATGTAAAATTAAGGACTTTGATCATTTCTAGAGTATGAGTGTTGAGATTGGAGATGATGGATTTCTGTGTAGGTGGTCACTCTTAGAGAACACTGCTCAGTGAAGTACCAACCTGTAACATCTGTTTTGGGTTTCTTGGGGTGTTTTCATCTGGAGACTGGCCAAAGTTACATTTCAGAAGGTAATTGTAGAGCATGGATACTCTTTCCCATGGCATCAGCATTTCCCTAATGCTCTGCTGAGCTTTGCTCTTTGTTCTCTGACTTTCTCCCTCCCCATCACTGTGCTCTTTCTTTTCTCCATCTCTTTCCTTATCTTCTAGCCTCCTGCTCTCCCTAAACATCCCTGCTTGTCTCCAGCCAGAGTCGGTGTAATTGTCTTATTATTTCTGAAATGGAAAGAGGAAAAAATCATGATCACTCTTTTTTCCTTTCATTTTTATCAGTTGTATAAGACTATTCCATCCAAAGTTGTTCCAGGATTAATAAAAAACATGAGAAGCTTATGGGATGAAAGAGTTTAAAAATGACTGTTACAGTGTTGAAGAGTTCTAGTGGTACAGTGGTTAAGTGCTTGGTGGGTGACTTGAACCCACCAGTCACTCTGAGGAAGAAAGCAATAGCAGTCTGCTTCCATAAAGATTATAGCTGTGAAAACCCATGTAGGAAGTCGTTCACTAGACTGTTGTATTGCTTTAAGTTGGGATCCAATTGATGGCAGTAGGTTTTTTGTTATAAGGTCAAGAAATACTGTAGCCAGTTTAATTATATTATGTTCAATAGGGGACCTCTCCAGAGTACTGAAGAGCAATGAAGTCAGTCTTGAGACTAAAGTGCCTGATCCAGGCCATGTTGTTGTTGCTAAGTGCTGTCAAGTCGCAGGCGACTCATAGCAACCCTATGAACGAAAGTCCTGGACACCTCATGTATAACTTTCATCCTTTCTCCAGGTTCATAGAGTTTCCAGAGGCAAGCTATTGTAGAAGTGGATGCCACTCCTGCTTCCAGGTTTGTTTTAATCGGGGAGCTTCACCAAACACTCTCTACCATGGGTAACCATTCTCACGTTTGACTCATGAGTGTCACAGTGTTCAGCTTCACAATTACTTGCTATGTATCAGAAAGTTGGACAATGACTATGGTTGAGAGAGAATTGATATCTTTGAGCTGTGGTGCTGTAGAAGAATATCGAGTATATCATGGACTCTTTACCATGAGTAAAGAGTATTGAATATACCGTGGACTTCCAGGGAGAGCAAACAGGTTCATCCTAGAAAGAGTGAGACCAGGCTGCTCCTTGGAAGCAAGGATTCTGAGGCTTTGTCTGACATACTTTGGGCATGTTGCAAGGAGGGACTCATCCTTGGAAAGGGATGACAAGCTTGGGCGGGTGGAGGGACAGCACAGGAGAGGAAGAACCCCAATGAGATGGACTGATTCAGTGACTAGGGTAATGAGCATAGGTGTGTCAGAGACAATACGGTTGGCACAGGATACAGCAGGATTCAGAGCTGTTCAGCATACGGTCACCATGAGTCACAAGCAACTCCAGAGCACATAACAACAACAACAAGGGGTTTATTAGACATTGTAATTGCTTAGTTATATTAATTAATAGTAATTAATGTTATAAAACAAAATTTAAAACTAATATGATTTTTAGACTTTCAGTCAAATTAAAAAAAATTCTGTGTGTTGGAATTATTTTTCCTCTTTGAATATTAATTTTTTCTATCTTTAAAAATATTAAGAATAAGGAGACCTACAAGAAAAGAGGGAGAAGTTGATTTTCCTTAAAAACGTATAAATAAAAAAAGGACAAATCTCTCAATTTAACTTTCTGAGGAAGAAATTGGGAATTTTTAGAAATATTTTGTATAATCAGCACTATTTTTTGTTTTGTTTTGTTTCATTTCTTCCTGTGCCTTTGAGGGGAAGAAATTACTGCAACTAGAAATTTTGCATTGGAAAGGAAATCCAAATTCTCATGCTTTCTCTATCTCCAATATTACATTTTTTCCCATTGTTGTGAGGTTTATTCCAATTCACAGCATCCATATATGAAAGACTAGAACTGCTCCATAACCTCTTTAAAGCTATACACTTTACAGAAGCAGGCTGTTACATTGTTCTCCCTCAGAGTGAAAAGTGTATTCCAACAACCAACATTTTGAATTGAAATGGAGTACTTTAACTACTGAGCCACGAGGGCTCTGTATTTCAAATTTACCTTTGATTATATTTCAATAATATCATCTCTGCCCACTTTTAATTCTTTTATGTATCAAAACAGATAAATTTGGGATCTGTTGTTGCTGTTAGGTGATGACAACTCAACTCCAACTCATAGCAGCCTTATGTACAACAGAATGAAATCCTTCCCCACTCTTGTCATCCTTGTAAATTTTTGTGCTTACACCCATTCTCGCATTCCTTCTTAAGCCTACGGCTCTAGGTCATCTTGTTGAGGATCTTCTTCTCTTTTATCTGTCCTTCAATTTTTCAAGCCTGATGTCCTTTTCTGAGGATTTGCTTCTCCTGATAGCATGCCTAAACTATGTGAGACAAAGTTTCATAATCTTTGCTTCTAAGGAACAAACTGGTTGTACTTCTTCCAGGATAGATTTACTCACTCTTCTGGAAGTCCAAGGTATATTCAGTATTCTTCATCAACACCACAATTCGAAGTTACTCTTCTTTGATCTTCCAAATTCTTCTTTGGTTTTCTTTATTCACTGCCTAACTTCAACATGTATGTGAAACAATTGAAAATACTATCACTTGGGTCAGGCACACTTTAGCCTTTAAAATGATACCCTTGGTTTTTTTATATTTTACTTTTTTCAAAGTCCAATGGTGATTTATTTTATAAAACATAACTCACCAGAATAATTGAAACACAATGTGAATTGAAGAATAGAGTGAAACACAGTGTATACAAATTTTGTAAGCATAGCAATAAAAAAAAAATAAAGCAATGATCCAAGGAAAATAAATCCATATCTATCATTCACCAAATTTTCTTTACAAGCTTTTAAACTTTGGAGTAACTTTGGAAGTAAAATTTTTTTATTATTAAATTTATTAATTTTAATGAACATTTACAGAGATTTTGGGTTTTCATTCATTCATTGTTGCACTA